CATTCCTGCGGATGCCATGCGGAAGCGCTGCCTAGCAGCTTGTGCGAGGAGGTCTGCAGAGTGCCCGAAGACGAAGTGGGCAGAGGAGTAGAGTGCAGCGATAGGTAGTGGCAGCTAGCGCTGCCATAGCTGTAGCCTAGCATGTGTGTGTGTGAAGTGTGATACTGAGTGTTGCGTGTGGGACATCCAGGGTGATCCAGAGTGCGGACAGTGAGTTGTGTGGGCGCTCAGTCGCCATAGCCAGTTTGAAGAGAACTCTTATGTGGATACGATATCTTGAGTACTGAGTGGGGATTTGGGCGCTCAGTCGCCATAGCCAGTTTGAAGAGAACTCTTATGTGGATACGATATCTTGAGTACTGAGTGGGCGCCTGTCGCCAATTTGCTGTTTCGCTGTTTGCATACATGACAAGTTGAATAATCGTAGTGTGATTTCAATAGCGACACAACTCAGCAGGTGTAGCGTGCATGTGTATTGTATTGTTTATGAGCGAGCATCGGTAGTTGTGGCAATAAGTTGTTCCACTAATCAACAGTAATAATCAGCTGATTATCAGCTGATGGTGTAGTGTGTTTGAGAATGCCCCCCTCCCCTCAGCGTGACATCCTCGACAGAAAGACCCCCTCCGCGAATACACTTCCGTTTGCGACCCCTGAAGTGTATTCGTGGAGGGGGTTGCACTGAGTCTAGCTTGTAGCTGTGGCTTGAGAGTCTTTGTGAAAGGGGGGTCCTTTTGAAGGTGGCTATGATAAGATTTGTGGAGAAGGGGGGACTACCTAGGGCAGACTTAGTTAGGGGTTGGGCTGCTGATCCGCGCCGGGGTGGCTTGGTTTTGGGCTGATGATCCCGGTGGAGCTAGATTTGTGTTTTTTTCATGAATTCTGTTGAGTTTAGTTTCACTCATGAAAAATTCTCTGAGAGTTCCTTGCATTTTCCAAAGTTTCTCAGCTGAAGCGAAAAAAACAAAAGGAAACAAATGACCCCGGGTAATGGCCCCGGTACCTCAGATGTTTTGTAAAAAAATGTTATATGGGACGCTGGGCCCGGTTCCCAGCACGTGTAACTCCCCAAACTTAGATTGGAGCATTGTTCCCTTCCCCCCTTCCTCCCCCCGCCTCTCCCCCCCAAAAAAGAGGACCAGTCAAACCACCAGTACAAGGCCCCAGCCTTGCAGAAAAAGCAACTTGCTGCCACTGCACTGTAGCACCACAACTTTTTGGGGTCGGCGCACCGTTGATAAATTTCACCAATGGCTGACGTCGCATTTTGGGGCCTCCGAAACTCGCGGTGAGGGGCCCGCGGCTGATGTAGGGCCGTGTACTGGCTGGTGGTTTAACTAAGGCAGGTGAGATATCGATTGAAGATGACCTAGGAAAAAGCAGAGAGAACATTGTTGCAAATGTTGAGGGCTGGGCGTCATGCCTCTGTCTTATCTTTTGCCGGCCACGGAGCGGAGTCCTCGATGGAGGTATAGTGTGTTAGTCGTTGTAGCCCTTGTTGTCAAGGAAGGAAGGAAGGAAGGAAGGCTAAACTGTTAATGCTATTGAGGATAGGAATAGTGTTCCTGTCAGAGGAAGAGGCATCATCGAGATAGTCGAGGAGAGCAAGTTGTTGGATGTTATACAACTGCTGAGAGCTGTGATTGATCAGTATTGGACAATCTTGGCATGATGCTGCCGATGAATGTTGTCGTTTTGTACCCTACCCCGTTTCTTTCCCAAAGAAAAAAAAAAAAGAAAGAAAGTTTGGTGATTGTTTGCTGGCAGTTTGTCGGAACGTTGCACCTGGACTTACATGGGATGATCGACGGTGTGGTCTCACCTCAACGAGTATCACATCATTTGCAGATGATTCGTCCTCGCCATTACGTTCGGGTTGCCCGTGGGACGAAGCTCCGGAGGTAGCATCGATCGTGAGCATTGCGCTTTGGCTACTCCTACAGTTCATGGTTGGGTGCACGTGGACACGGTGGTTGAGCAGGTTATGGAAGGAGGTGAGTGAAGAGCTTGGGCTTGCACTGTTCCCATGCTTATGACGGTCTGAATGGCAGCACCAATGCATCAGTCTCACATTCCGCTAGCACCCACCCAACTTCCAGAGGCGACACGGCATCTGCCGAGGGAGAGCCCCAAGTCGAAGCATGCGAAGTCGAAAGTGCGGGCGAGTGCTGTGGCTGTCGTCCCTGTGAAGCAGGAGCCACAACAAACAGTGATTCCTCGGGCTCCGCCAATGTCGCGTGCATGCCAGCCACAGGAAGACACTGATCAGACACACTCGAGCAAGGCTACATTGCTGCGCTATGATGCGAAGCCAAAGCCACAGCTCCCGCCAAAGCCACGACAACCACACCAGCAGCAGCAGCAGCAACAGCAGCAGCAGCAAGGGTACACACCGGACCTGGCACTGTCAGAGTCACAGAAGGAAGCACGAGCAGGGGTACAGCCTCACTTGTACCCACACGTGCAATTGAAGTCAGGCGCTCCCCCTGCCCTGAAGCAGGAGCTACAGCAGGAGCCGAAGAAACGACCGCAAGGTGGGCCACATTTGCCGGTTGGCTCGTCGACTCCCTGGCAGCCGCGTATGCAAGTGCGAGGGCACCCAGCGTCATCATCAACCGTACATTGCCATTCACCAAGTCAGGCACAGCAACAACCTGCCCAACCACTACCTGTGACAGGGTCGAATCCTGGCGTGCACAGCACAGCAAGTCGACCTGGGTCCCAACCGGGGTCCCAACCTGCCGAGTCCCAACCTGCGGGGTCTCAACCTGCTGGGTCGCAGGCTACTGGGTCCCCGTCCAGGTCTCAACCTGGGTCCCAATCTGGGCCCCAATATGGGTTGCAACCTGCATCCCAACCTGGATCCCAAGCTGGGGCCCAAACTGCCCAAGTGGGGTCCCAACCAGCAAGTGGCCAGATTCCATCGGCGAACAACTCTACACCAGGTAATGCTGCTGCTGCTGCTGCTGCTGCGGAGACGCCACCAGAGCGTGGCGGACAGAAGATTTCATGCGACGACATCCAGCTGGTCCAGAATCTGATCGAACGGTGCCTGCAGCTTTATCTGAATCAGCGTGAGGTTATCACTTCGCTCCAGTATCATGCGAAGATAGGGCCTGATTTCACTAGTCTGGTGTGGCAGAAGCTAGAAGAGCAGAATCCGGAGTTCTTCAAAGCCTACTATGTCCGTCTCAAACTTAAGGAGCAGATTCACACTTTCAACAACCTGTTGGCATGCCAGGTACATAAGATGGACCAGATGCAACTGTCGTACAAGCAAGCAATGCCTCAAGGCAATGCACTTGCTCCAGCAACCGGTATCCCAACGAACGGAGTCCGGGCGCATGGGCCGATCGCCCCTATAGGATATCCAGCGAACCCCATGCAAACAGGGATAGGCACGCCACATCGACTGCTGCCAATGGCGCCGGCGACGGGGCAGCCTGTCGTGAACGGGACACCTGTGCCGGGTGCCTATGTAGGCCCTGCACAAGCATCCCCAGCTGCGAATCCCATGATGGACATCATGATCGGGTTGACGCCACCAATGGGCGCAGCAGCAACGGGTATTCCTGCTGTGAGCAGCGACGTAACGCTCGGTAGCATGGGCCCGACGCCAGCACCTCCCATGTCGATGCCCACCGTCCAGGGATTTCCCTTTGGGAACATTGGCCCAGCTCCAGGGTCAGATATGGTGGGGATTGGACTCGGTACTGCATTGCCCTTGGAACATGCATATGAGGCCTCTCTTACAGCATCAGATACGAGTACACCAAGTGCAATGAATAGCCTGTCGTTGACCATGCCGGAGGCCGAGTCCCAGAAGGAATCCCTGAGTTCGCTGGGCGCATTGCCACGGAACTTCAGTCTGTCGGATCTGGCTGGAGAGCTGAACAACAACATGGGATTGGATGGGGGTCTTCTAGCGAGTCTGTCAGATTCCTCACCTCTTCTGTCGCCAAATTCCGATGACTTCTTGCGATCGCCGGACAAAGATGATCTCGACGACGATCACTTGCTCGACTTCGACTGATTTTTTTAATGGAGATCAGAAGGCTTATAGCCTTACACACATCGGGCACGTATGTATGCAGCGGAAATCGGCAATGTTGCGTTGTGTTTTCTGTGCCTATGGGTACTTTGTGTTGAGGGATGGTGCTGAGACAAGACATTAATTAGCTCAGTAGTATGGAGGGGAACTTGTGCTGATTTCAGAATCAGAGAATGAATGGATCTCCTTAGGGACAACACGTACGTTTCTCTAATGCTGCCGTTACTTTGTCGGTCAGGACTGTTCGTGCTGGCAATGCATTGCTTTGTATTTGAGCATGTAGAAGTGCTTGCAATGCAGTGCTTTGTATTTGAACGTGTAGAAGGGCAGAGAGAAAAAGTATCGTTGCTACTTCTGAAAGGAGTTGAAGTATGGTTGATATTCTCTGAGAAAGTCGAGTTAGGACCGGTTGCTGGCTTGTTGTTGATTCTGTACAGTTGTGCTTTTGTCTGACATTTTGTGTTGCTCATGCGCTCCTATGCGTACGCTAGATAGAAAGACGTAGCGGGGGGAAGTGTTTGTGCATGTGAACTGAAGAGAGAGAGAGAGAGAGAGAGAGAGAGAGAGAGAGAGAGAGAGAGAGAGAGAGAGAGAGAGAGAGAGAGAGAGAGAGAGAGGATCCGAGACTCGGAGATACGGCAGGGTTAGAGGAGAAGATGGGAGAGAGCAAGCAAATCATGACAGAAGAGCTTTGAGCTTCCTGGGGCAACCTTAGTGGGTGGGGAGGCAGAGGCGGAGGCGGGGGCACGTGGCAAGGGGGCAAGGGCAATAGGATACTTGGGGGGGTGAAGTGAATGGTCTGTTTTGCTAACGTATAGCCAACGTATGGTCACCGTGTAAATAGCCCCAAACCAAAAAAAAGGGACAAGAACAGCATAAGGGACAAGAGGCCACCAAACCGGGCTTGGGAAGGCTCAGAACCTTTTTTTTTTTTTTTTTTTTTTTTTCCGTTCAGCCCCAAAGAGGCTTGATTGGTCTGCATATCTCGAAACGACACGCCACAGGCATTGGGACATAATTTATGTTCATTTTGACAGCTACTTCATAGGTTTGCACTGTTTTACGACTCATGTTTGACAGCTACTTCACAGGCATTGGTCTGCGTATCTCGAAACGACACGCCACAGGCATTGTGCTCAGTTCTTGTGTCGACGTCTTCATTTCGAGTTATGGGATGGCCCCATTATGTTCTCTCTAAGGTCTATGATAGATACTGTGTGCTAGTTTGTACCGTTCCTGATACCTCTTGTAGTGCCAAGTTATAGAACCTACAGACGAAAGAGGAGTCCTCCACGTAGTGTTGTAGATCGTTGGGGTTTGTCGATAACGGTTGGCAGGGAAAAGTAATGTTTTCGGGAAAAGTCGATAAGGTAAGGTGGACAGGTTTGGGACTGCGTGATCGGAAAGTGGGGGCAAGAAGATCGGAAAGGTGGTACCTTGTTGGTACCTTGGCATTGATACCGATAGGACCTGATAGTGGGGCGAAGAAGGACAAGAAAGTGGATAAGTTTTTTTTCAGAATTTGCAGCCTTGCCAAGGCCAAGGTCGAGGGTTCAAACTTGAAATCCCTTTTCCGCTTGTCGGCTTCGAGGAGGACCAGAAAGCGGATAAGGCACAATTTTTTGGTCATGGTGGGCTGGCAACATGGGCCATGAAGGGTCAAAAAGTAGATTTGAGGTGGTGAGGGTCAGATTCGGGCCGGTCCTTCGGGACGTCCGTTAAAAGGATTGGAACGATACAGAGAAGGGTAAATTAGCAAATGGCCCCTGCGCTTTCAAGGATGACACGCATAAATCGAGAAAGGGTAAGAATCGGGTCGCAAGTTAGGGAAGGAGGATTGGGAGAAAATGAAGGACACGAACGTGGATGATGTAGTGTGAAGGGTCCTTCATTTTTTTACGAGAAGTGGGTGTGTACTATGATGAAGGGTCAAAAAAAGTGAATGGATGTGGTGAGGGCGAGGCTCGGATCTGAAAAAGGTCGGGAACGAGGGATTGAGAAGTGGACGAGGTCGGGACGGGAATGTAATTGGGATCTCGAATTGGGTAAGGAAGGACTAGAAAGGGGATAAGGTGGTGCTTTATTTGCAACGGCAAAGTGGGCAAGAAGGACAAGAAAGTAGAAAAGGCGCGAATTGTGGACAAGGTTGGAAGTGTGAAAAATGGGCAAGGCGGACCCAGAATGTGTATAAGTAAGGTGGTGTGGAGAAAGTCGACCTGTGCAAGACAAGGGACAGCAGTCACGGCGGGGGRGCACCTGGCATGAGTGACGTAGGAGGATGCTGTCTTCACACACTGCAAGATCAAATGGAACTCAAATATTGTAGTTCCGTCCAGGTTAGGCCTGAAGGCTGCTCTCCTCACCCCGATCGTTCTGGAGGGGTCCTATTATTAATGATCAAATAAAGAAAAGGAAGTTGGTTCCTATTTCCCATTTTCCCCTGGCTCTAATTTGTGGGGGTTGATGCACGAAGAACGGCTGTTGCTTTTCACTCTCTTCCAAGTGTGTGGGTAGATCCCGATCTCTCTCTCTCTCTCTCTCTCTCTCTCTCTCTCTCTCTCTCTCTCTCTCTCTCTCTCTCTCTC